TGTGGGATCAATCTTAATTTATTATGGTGTGTGAAGCTTTAAAGAATAGTCCAAATGGAATTGTTTTCATGATTGCACAAAGATTCATAAACATTTCATCCACAGCTGAATTCGAACCAATGAGACAGCTGATGGATGCCTTTGATGTCATAAACTTGTTTAAGCAACTGTAGTGTTTGTATCTCAATATCTGTTATCACAGTGTGAGTCAGTCGGTTGTTGAATTGAATGTAGTAACCCCTAACCCTGCTGGTGAACCAAAGATTTTTTCAAAGCTTTGTCCGTTATAACTGTTGCTCATCAAACCAAATCTGATGCTGGAGGTCAGTGTGGTGAAGCTGGTTTGCACCACTGACAGCAGTAAGGTGTTCTTAATGGAAATATTTCAAGGTTTGAATATACAGAAGAAACATTATTTGCTTGTTTGTAAAATGTTTGCTTTTGTTGAATCTTTTTTTTATTAATCTTGTTTCATTCTGTCTTTTCACTGTTTTAAGAAATGGTCTGGTAGCTAGTCCTGTTTTTTGTCCGATGTTATCAGTTTTATTGTACTGGGGCCCATTTGACAAAAGCAATTTCCGAGGACTGCTTACACACAGATCACAGAACTTGAGCTCCTGTTGCAAAATTTGTGAAGTTAGCCCCAATATCACATTCAGCAGAGTCGGTCTGCAGTGTTAGAATAAATTAATTGAAAATGCACTGTCCACTCATGTATTGCAAGTCTTTTTCTAGCATTTCTGTGGTACTGCCCAAAATAGCCATAATGAATACTTTGGATATTTATCAGTATATTACTAATATTATATCATGAAGACTGAAACTGAAACAACATAAGGGATTTTTGATAACTATATCTCAAATATGACAAAAGAAATCTAGTGATTCTTATCACTTCTCTTCCTGATGATATACATTTTGTATAACTTTGTACTTTAAAACATTTTTACTGAAATAAAAAGATCTAAAAGATCAATATGTCTCATCTGTGCATTTCCTCATTCACAATGTGCAATTCTCTAAAACAAAAAATATCAATTTGAGTTTTTTTCTGGGTTTGATAAATATCTGGTGGCATTAACACTGAGGCATTTTTAAACAATGTTGGTGATTTATGGAGCTCCAGTGGCATATTTATATTTCAGTAATGCTGTAAATGTATTAATACCTATTTGGTACCTCCACAAGCCATATTTTCCCCACAAAAGCTCAGTAGGCCAGAGACTGCACAGGACTACATTGGACTTAGTAAAAGCTATCTGAATGTGCTTTATACTGCAGCATAATAGCTCTGCTTTTAAAAAATGTAACCTGCACCATGGGTTTCCTTTCATAGATCTCTATAACATTTTATACAGAGTTACTTTGTGTGGTGTCTGTAAAGAGAGTGTCAGTGTGAACCCACTGGTGAATGAAGCTGTGGACAAGAATTTAACCTCTCTTTATCTGCAGTATAAATAAGCTAAAATGAAAGTCGAGCAGCACTTCACGGTTTATGGTTAACCTGCGAAATGTTGCTAAATAAACAGGTGTAAAGTGAGAAGCTGCTGTATATCTCTTCAATCTTTCAAGTATCAGGACACAGGTCTCCATTTTCTCATAACCCATCCATGTGTTTACTCTAGCAGTTGGAAAGAGGAACAAATGTGAAGTAATATTGCTAGGCCATATTTGTTCTTAGATAAATGTATCATATAGAGAGCTACTAAAGTAAAAAGAAAGTAATTAAATATGAATTTAGACTTTATTTAATAGCAGTTTGCAAGATGAGGTAAGATCAGTCCTGTACAAAAAGGACAGAAGATTAAATACTGTACTTTACATTGTATACATTAGCAGCTATGATGTTTATTTATAAAGCATAATCTTTGTCTAATAAAATGCAGAGCGAGATGCTGCTGATAAATGCTGTTTTACATGTGTGCAGCTCATCACCAGCAGATGGTGTGATAATCCTTTACACCACAGCATTAACATCAGTGCCAAACCACATAACACCAGCCTGATGTTTCCACTTATTGTGTAATACTGAAAGAATCTCATTGTGTCGGAACACAGCAACTGTGGAGATGTATTATAGTTCAAACAGTACATGTCCCATTTATTATTTACATACACAAGCAGTAATATGTGCAGTGCGTACTACAATATGATTTATGAGATTATGCTGTGCTGGTCATGACACTTACAGTGGTAGAGGTTGTTTATTATGTTGTGACTGAAAATGAGCATCATATATAACTAGAAAGCTCTGACTATGCTCAATCTGAGGACCAAAAGAGTGTGACCATAAAGAAAGTTAGAATGAAAAGAGATCTTGTGCAAAGGTGTAGCTTCATGTTGTTGTTAGACTATCTTGTACATTTTAAGACAGGGACCAACACATTGCAACTCACATCAATCTATAATTGTGTATGCATTCATTAAATGGATATTATGTAGGATATATAGAGTTTTCAAGCCAAGTTTATTTACAAAAGCACAAAGAGAAATCATGACAAGTGATAGGGAAGGGACCATTGACTGAGTATATATGGATGAGACAGGGAAGAAGATCACCAAAGCTATTCAGTTCATCTAGAGCCATTATTTTATGCACCAAATTTTCTGCAATCCATCTAATATTGTAGCTGAGATATTTCACAGGAAGTTGGAAAACTTTGACATCCTGGTGGAGCTAGAGGAAGAGGCACAGTGTGTCCTCTGGGAACCATGAAGCTCTGTATAAAATATCATGCCACTGCATCAAATAGTTGTTGACATATTTCACTCTGGACCAAATGGTGGACCGACCAACACATCCAATATATGGCCAAAAAGAAAGCAGAAAACATTTCATTTGCCTCCTCTTCAGCTGGTGGGAGTGAGTTTTGCTGATTTCTTTACTAAGTGCAAAGTGATGTAGTTCAGCTCCTCCACTAAAGCAGATGGACAAATTATTCCAACCCTAAAAGCTAAAAGCTCTGTGTGAATGTCAACACCACAGCCCCTTAAGAGCAGAGTGTGCTTACTCCCTTAAACTGACACTAATATTGGAATTAAAACAGTTATGTCATTTCAAGGTGTGAAGGTCTCCGTTGCACTGTATGTGCTTCACAACATTTCAAAGGAGAGTATTGTACTTTTCACTCCACAACAGTTCACTTTACACATCAAGGTTTTACATACGAAGCAAATGAAGAGCTTATAAAAGACGACACATCGTAGATTAAAGGTGCAGTGTGTAACAGTTCTATTGGCAGAAATGGAAGATAATATTCATAATTGTGTTTTCATTAGTGTATAATCACCTGGATATAGGAATCAATGTGTTTTTGTCATTAGAATGAGCAGCTAGTCACCTTCCTTGGAGTCTGCCATGTTGAACTGCCATGTTTCTATGGTAGCCCAGAATGGACAAATCGCTGACTGTAGATAAGGCCTTTTGTGTATTTTGCGAGTGTTGCAGTCACCATAGTCTCTCCTAAATTTTGGGATATTTTACAGACTAAATGATCTCATAAATAATTGACAGAATAATCAGTGATCAAAGTAAGTATAGCTGCAGCTCTAGCCACCATAGATCTCATATCTTTACAATGCGCCATCTGAAGGGGAGCAGACCAGATCAGATATGATGGTTGCACCATTTTACACTTCACCTTGACTGAGCATGTACAATACAAATCAAAGTCATAATGAGTCTCAGAGAGTGGAGGATCAGCAGGGGCCTCCTGCTCTAATTTGTAAAATGTGTTTCTCAGTAAATTGACCAACCTGCTTTTTTCCCCAGTGCATGCTGGGATAGGCTCCAGCCCCCTGCAGCCCTTGAAGAAAAATGGCGCAATAGATAAATGGATTGATGGTTTATCTGTGAATCGTTTATTCTCACGCTCTGAGACCATGGGGATGATATTGATTTGTTTCTCCACCAAACTATCATCATGTTTAGTCCCAGAAAGAGAAACCTGGAGCCTTATTTGGAGACTTTAAAACTAGATGCCCCCTTTACCGTTTTAAAGTTTAGTTTAAAAGTAAAGTTGCCTTTTGTATTACTCTGATGTTAGAAAGCCTATGATAAAACAAATCTAAAATCAGTTATTGAAAAGATTATTGTGTCTCTATTGTGGCAAATGTCTGTTTAATGTTGAATGCAAACATAATCTCTTCAAAGGAGTTTTATCAACAAAATAGATACTTTGTATTTAAATATCTTGTAATTTTATTGATCTAACAGGTTTTTTACATTTCATAATGTATTATATCTTTACTTAGACTGGTTTTCTTTCCTGCTTTTAGTCTCATTGTCCCTTCACTCTCTGTTGTGTTGTTTGTCATCATATCATTGTCACAGTCAAGTCAAGTTATGTTCATGAACCAATGGATAGAAAATAAGCAATCTAAGCAATACAAATATTTGATAAACATTGGTGTGATTCTTTAATTTGTGGTGATGGGAATGAATATGTCATACAACTGGGATTTGATTATTGGGTGTTCAGAGTGATTCAAGCATGTGCATTCCCTAAACTTGCCTTAGAATACTATTATTAATAATACTACTACGTTTTAATGTTTTAAAAAAGCAAACAAATTGGCTTAATTAGACAGTTTTGCTTTGAGGATATGATCTTTCTAAAAAAATTAAATAAACAAATGCATTACAATTAACATTTTAATGCCAAAAACACGTCTGTTACACACATTACACACAAATCCTCTGCTGAACTGTGATTACAATAAAAGTGAAAGCTTTGCTGCCCTCCTGCGAGCACAGCAGCTCCTCCAACAGACACACACCGGTGTGGCATTTACTGCACGCACAGATACGGTAATTTACGCTTCCTCTCTTAAAACGACCGTTTTGCTAACATTTCTGAAGACAAACAGACGACAGTTTTAATATGGAAGGACACAAGTGTTTCAATTTGTTTAGTATACGATTAAACGTAATCTATCCGAGCCGCTTCCTCTACCCGAGTCAAGTCGCTCTGACGTTTATTCCCCAAATTCCCATATAACCTGAACGCAGCAGCAGGACCAGACTGCCTTACATTGTTAACGTTGATTTCTCCCGTTCAAGCCAGCATTTTGTCTTCCGTGAGTCAAACCGGGGTCACAGGCTCCCACAAAACGCATGAAATCTCGGCTACAGTTGGCAGCGGGACCCGCACCGGCAGACTGTAAGATACTTTACAGTGTATTCATACAATTTGTCTCAGTTTTAAGGAGCAACAGAGATGCAGTGAACACGTTAATGTTCACGACTGTGAATATTTCATACTGCAGAGGAATATACTGGGGCGAGTCAGGGCTTTTAATTCATGGAGCAAGAAAGCTTAACGGTTTGGCTTTTAAATGAGGTTTTACAGGTAGGGGTGTGACTTTTTAATACGGAGTCAAAGTGGGTTCAAACACCTGTCCGGGTGAACCTCAGGTCCTTTTATTTAAAGAAGATAGGCTCGCGATATGACCACTCAGCAGTCATTTTTCTTGCTGGACTGAAAGGAGGAGGAGGAGGAGGAGTAGGCTAGCGTGTTTCCCATGGCTACACCAAGCTTTCACTGGGGTTTATTTGTATTCCTAACCAGCCGGCGGTGACATGGTTAATGGTTATATTACTATTATCTTTAAAAAACAAACACACTGGCAGCTGTTATAAGCCCAGTAATTCAAACGCGTGTCCGGATACATGAGCAGAGATAGTGGAGTGGGGGGGGGGACTCCAGGAGTCGTGACGTCGCCCTGGAGGTGCAGGTTCGTTGCTCAGTCAGTGTGGTCTCCTTTTGTTGACTGAACGCCCACCTTTCTCCCAACAACCGCAGTCAGGTTTTCACACAGTCAGGTCTAATGGTTTAATTTTCTTTATCTCCACTTGGAAGCTCTAACATGAGCTGGAGGATTGTTGGCTGTAACCCTGCCCAGACCGGAGGCTGCTGGTAGGGATGGTGCCGCTGTGAAGAGCCCCGGTGTGCCGTTTTCGGAGGACATGCCTGTGGTCGGGGGAAAAGGGAGGAAGTGCCTGGACAACATGACTGTTTTCAACCAGGAAAATGTTGAGGAATTTTATGAGATTGGAGACGAGCTAGGGAGGTAAGTTTGACTGAGATCCAATCCTTCATTCCTAATGCGTATGAACTTCCTCTTTCCGTGGTAGAGGTGTGAGAAGGAGGGTGGGAAGATACTTTATTTTAATTTGTACATTTAGATGATCTTCACATTTAGGTGCAGCATTTTAACCCATCTATCCACAGTGTTCATATGTTAGTCTTAAATGTATGTATGTCTGCCATGCTGCACCCACAACTCTGCATACAGATGGGTTTAGTCCATAAACACAAACACTAATGCACTCTCTTATTCAAGCAAGCATGCACCCATACTATGCTTGTGAGTAGTCTGCAGGACATACATCCCCCCACTGTGAGTGCATCTGATAGGCTTTGATTAATGCAGTCCATAATGCATTGTTGTCAGTGATGAAGAGGTTAGCGTCTGTTACTGTAGCTGGAGATTTATTGCAGGAGGGGGCTGACGGTGTCTTTACAGGGGAGAGGATTTACATCGTGTCACAGCCTGGTTTCACTTCATCATGACTGTGTTTGGTCAAGAGGTGACTGCTTCACAATGGGGATGAAGAGGTTGAATGTAGACAATACAATTTTGGTTCTTGGGGTTGTTTTTTGTCTGGAAAGTTGTTTAAATGACAGCAGGGTGATCACATTAAGGCTGGAGAGTGAGTGACATCCCTGATTTGCTGTGCTGTTAAATATGAAACCCCAGTGTAAGACACCGCTTAACTTTACTGCTGCTTTGATCAAAAACTACATTACATAATAGCAATGGTAGAAATAACAAGTAAGTGTGCGTTTATCCCCACAGTAGATTGCAGACACCTTCTCAGGTGACAAAAAACATGATCTAAAACATGGACAATGGATTTTGTGAGTTTCTGGTTATCAAAGGGACACATGTACTCTGTATTGGTAATAATCAGCCATGTGTTTTCTGCTCTCCAGGGCTCCTTTTAGCGCTCACCTTCCAGCACTGTAGGGGAGAGCTGAAGTTGCTCTAGCTGCTTCACTATGCTACTTTGGTAATAGAGACGATTGGGGAGCTTTGTGTAATGGGATTGAATTTCTGGCTCGAGGTAAAGAGATGACTATGTGAGTGTGATAGTCTCATTTGATTGTTGTTCCAACACCGGGATCCTTTCTCTATTGCGGTTTGATTAGGGGAGTAAAGATTTTAGATTGGGTTGTCGATCATCGTAGCGTGATCATCACAAATTCTTCAACATTTGGAGTGTTTAAATATGGTAAACGCATGCTTTTTCTTGTTAAACACCTCACTGCAGTATTAAAGGCACCCATGGAAATTTAATTTCTTTATGAGACATAAGAATTATACATGGCTCAAAGATACATCTTAATATGGAGAAAGGAATGAAGCCTACTTTAACTCTATAGATACAAGTACACCTGCTATGCAGTATCAGTCCGCCTTTATTAATACATGTGATACTCATGAGCATAAATAAATCATCTGATCGTGGGAGACACACAGATTATTTATTGCATTTTACATTGGCTAAAACCTACAGCTAGACACTGGGCCCAGTGCCAACCTCATACAAATGCATTTTCTCATAAGTGGCATGCACGAGTGATTTAAGTGAACTTGTTTGTACTTTTTCTTGTGCTTAGAATTTTCTCTTAGGTAGACTGTTCCTTCTTTATTTCCTTTACAGTATGGCTATGCTCTAATGTCAAAAAGTTGAAACTTTATGCCTATTTTCAGTTTGTTGATGGTCCTCTAATGCTGCTGCAGACACTGCTGAATTTGTTGTGTCAAGATCATGTCTTATTGATCGAGTTGAAATGAGAAATTTATGGCAGTTTTGTGCAGTTAAGACCGTTTTCTGAATCTGACTGGTGTCACTCATACTTGCAACCCTCACATACAGAAAATGTTTGATATAAAAATAAGAAAAACTTTCTTGTATGAGGCCCAATGACTCTGAATGCCGTGCTGTGTTTACAAAATTTTTTCCCCATGTTTTAACTTAGATGAACTTTGGATAAGCCAGAGTTAGTTTATGATGAAAAACTGGTGAGTCTGTCTATTCATTGGCTAGATTACAGCAGCATGACCTGCGCTGCAATTCTTTGCCTGCTCAAAGACAGAGAGGCTTTTGATCTAACTGTACACCAGGCCCGACTCTGGTTGGAATCGGAATGAGGCCCATACGGTTTGGCAAAATGGGAAAATGGAAAATCACCCAAGCAGGGATTTTATCCTTCCACTGACACCAACACTGCCTGCTTTGGTGTATATGCATGGCAGACCCGAAGGCTGGTGCAGCCAAGCATCTAACCTTCATTAGTATCTATCCACAGTGAACATGCAAGCGGTATAATGAAGAGGGGAGTGTGGAAGAAGCAATGCAGCTGCAGAATTCAGTCAGCCAGAGGAAATGTGTAGTGCTCATTTTAGGGTGTGCAGTCTGAAAAAAATTATCTAGCCACTGGAATCACCTGCTAAAGCCTTTAAAGCCTTTACTATAAGACTTGATTTAATCACTGTATGACCTGGAACGGTCTTTCTCAGCCATGTCAGTGCAGTTTGTATACATATGGGATAACTAGCTAGATTTTTACCAACCCTACACATACAGGTACAGACTCAGGTAACTGGAATTATTAGTGAAGAACAAATTGTCATTTAGAGCTCTGCTGGAGTCACAGCAGGTTATCTGTCGAGCCTCCATGTGATGCATCAAGTTGCTACCTGCAGAGCCGCAGTGAAGAAAATGTGATAACCCTAGGCAAATCCATCAGTCGTCAAGTTTTCCATTTTGAACTGTGTGCAAAAAATGGCCAGTTAGTCTGTATCCCAGCAGTGTTTTAAAGGTCTCCTGATAGAAATTGCCCACTGATGCTGGTCTCGTCTCAAACCCTTTCCTTTAATAAGTCAAGCCCTGGCCACGTCTGTGCTCGGCTGATCTCTCTAATTGCCTCACAGATTGGCAGAAAATTCTCACTTCATGCCTGAGATCAGCGGGGGAATTGCTGAAGACATTACAGCTACTGGCATCTCAAAGGATCTCCTATTTGATACCTCCTCAAAGGGATGGCTAAGTGAAGGGAGAAGCATCGTTGAAATGTTTAAGTGTTTTAAGGGTCTCACAGTGGCGACGATGTGTTGGGATTTTTTGAGAAAATACTCAGCAAATTAATCAACAACAAAAATAATAATTAGTTGCCTCCCTAATATATCCATATATATATTGTTTATCTGAGAATGTTATTGCCATGAATGCTTTAAAAAAACATCTTTATAACCATAATTTGACAGAAAAACACTAAACTGAAACCCATACTAATTAAATTCTAATGTGGCCAAGCAACTCTCAGATGACTTGATCCTGTTGTTTGGGGGTGGAGGAAATCTGGGACACTGTACAGCCTTTATAATCTAGAGAATTTTTCCATTGCTGTTAACAGAAAAGAAACCCCCATCACATCAGCAGCAGACAACATCGACTGGCTGGTATCTGATCTTTCATACGAGGTCATTATCAGTCTAGAATATCAGCAAACCTTTATAACGGTCTGACTAGAACATGCAATCACTTAGTATTACCTCAGCTTGGATCTTCAGCAGAACAGAGCAGCATTTTAGTCTGCATGAAGAAACAGAATTAGTTTGTGTCGTTTGAGTTGAATTTGTTTGGAGACGTACTGACTCAGCCACTTTCTGGCTGATTTTGGAGAGAGATGAACTAAGACATTAGCTGACTGTGGTGGAAGGCAGTTTGTGTGTGCTTTTCATCTGGTCCACAGGGCAGTTTTACACTTAGCACATTTTTGCAGTGCTCTGCCTCCATCATTAGTCTGCATTAATGTGACTGCTGTGTGGCTCTCTACGGATTGTCCCTCCTTTTGTGTCTATGGTATGTGTGTGTGTGTGTGTGGTGTGTGTGGGTGTGTGTGGGTGTGTGTGTGTCTGGGTGTGTGTCTGGGTGTGTGGTTGCCATTTGCAGAGGAGGAGGGGTCGGTGTATTTCAGCAGGGATTTTGCAATGCAAATGAACATAAAAAGCATTAAACTGGGACTGCATTTGGGTTATTCCTCAGTAAAAAATCACCCCAAAGACAATTTTCTATGAATACAAAATAGGATTATATGCAAGACATCCACATGGGCTCCTGTATTAAATGATGATATAATTTAGAATTTATTTTTCCCTCAAGAAACTGCTAGTCCTAATGCAGACCATTAAAAATAAATCTACTGAATATTCACTACAGCAAACTGTGACACCCTTTTTTCGAACACACCAGCACTGTCTAATGCCATGCACGCAGTCCATGCAGACTGTGCCCCAGCTACTGACCTAGATTTACCCTCCTAGCCTGGGTTATTGGGTGGAGGGGAAGTCTGGGTAGCAGGAGTGGCCTTGATGAGGCCTGTCACTCACTCACACACCCTAACCCGCCCCCCCTGGACCCCAGGGCGCGACAGCACTGTCGCATAGATGCAGTGTTGCCACCACTTGCATTTTGAGTTCAAGGATTTGGCTTTGAGTATATTAGTTTTTAGGTTATTCTCTTATTTATTAATAAAATCTTATAATAACTAATGTTTAACACCTTTTTGATTTGATTAATTTTATGATGATAGACAGTGGAAAAAGAGGAAATGCAGAGTTTACACAATGTGACTTAATTATGTCATAGTAGTTCCTATTTTGACCCCAGTTGAATCAAACAGTTGTAAGGGTTGTCACTTTTGATTTGATGCCTGTTTTACCCAAAACTACTGGAAATGGGTATAATACTACTACTAATAATAATAATAATAATTGTGATTTAACCTGTATCCACTGCATGAAAGCTTGTCTAATAAGTCACACTCTTTTAGGCAAATCCAAAAAAAGCTAATTGCCTCACAGGAGGTGATTAGCTATTTTGCTGTGATGCATTTGAAATGAAAGGCCATGAGTGGTGACGTTACTCAACACCTTGACAGCTGACTGTCACATGATCTCTGTGAAGAAACAACCCAGCAATTATCACCTGGTAGTGAAGG